TGGGATAAAATGTATATTTCGATTACACTTGTACTATCAATTGTCATAAATGTTTTAATAAGTTAAAAGTATCTTTTGACAAAATTATCATATGAAATAATAATTCATATTTCATAGTATGCCTATTTAAAACAAGATTATTAAGGAATTTGAGCTATTTTTGGCTTCATAGTTAACATTATTTTCTTATAGGAAATCTTAAAATGAGCCCCTCATATGTTACAGGTATGCAGTAATGATTTTTTAAAGTATGATCTCAAATTGCAATACAGGTTAACAAATTTAGGAAAAGTCAACTTATAAGTTAATAACGCATATTTCATAGCACAGCAGTTGTACAATAAACTGATTCGGAATTTGATATGATTATTTCTTGATAATTATAGACATTTGTGTCAATTTGAAAATTTGAAAATGAAATGTATCAGTGCTAAAAAAAAAGTGATCTTTTTTCAAGGTCCTTCTAAATTTGTAACAGCAGGTCATCAGTGTTTGCTTGTGGGGTACGTATTTTCTTCTACAAATTTGATGCTATAGTAATGTTATACTTATACCCAAGTAATGTGTTATTGAATGTGTCATCAAATTTAAAATTAGCATGAAACAAGTTGGTCATCAGCACCTGGAGATGAAAAGAAAAAATATTCTAAAAATCAAATTTCATATTTTTGGCATGAAATATGAATATTAATCAGAACATATGCAACTGTCTCAAATGTTTGCAATTAAAATACCTCGGTACATATCTCTCATTGCTTAACATATACTTTTTTCAGAATGGAATGTGTTCTGCGGTTTGAATAAAATGAGTCCAACGATGCCCTTGAAAGTAACATTTATTGATTTTCCTTCATTTTGGTTTGTACTAGTACCTAATATTCATATTTAATCATTACCATTGAAATTACTGTCTATATATACACGTAGTACCGTAAGTGTTATTTTTCACGGCTGATAAAAGAGGAAACGACAAAGCGTTGGAATTGTGCATTTTTCGTGCCTTTTATTTAAAATGGAATTCTGTCATTTCTACATGTTTCATTTTACCATAGCGGTACATGAATTCACGCCAATATTATAATTGCATTACACACATATTTGAGTATCCAACCCAATTACAAAACTAGTGCTGGAATCTAAGCTGAAAAATGAGGAATCATGTGAATAAATGTAATCTGCATCCCATACATAAACCTTAAAATCAAAATATGTGAAATCCAATCATGTAGCCAGAGAAGGGTTAAACCACGGCTAGAAACCCCTTCTCGTTAACAAATGTCCCCTCTGCATTGCCACGAGCACCCCTTGCTAAGCGTCAGGAATGCCCGATCAGACGGGGAAGATTTATGTAACCCGGATGAACCACCCATTCCCAGCTCTCACCAACGATTCCAGCAAAAGTGCATTACACACAAATTTGAGTATCCAACCCGATTATAGAACTAGTGCTAGAATCAATGCTGGAAATTGAGGAAATTTGCACCCCATACATAACCTGATATCCAAGCGTTTAGCCATCAGGAATGCCGCCCGATCAAACGGGGAAAATTGTATGTAACCCGGGTGCGCGCACCACCCACTTCCAGCTCTCATCAACGATTCCAGCAAAATTGTTCCCAACCGGGCTCCATCACTTCCCTCCAGGTATACCTACCCGCATATAAAATCGAGCGAGGCTCCTGAAATTACTTGTCTTACGAATGGTAATTTAATTTCTTGCTATTATATGTAAGTGTGATGAAGGCCCAAATTGATAAATTCCGCCAACGAGCAAATTAAATAGCTCGCCGCCAAAGAACACGGTTTCACTGGATAGCCTACAAGTGAGCTTAAAGCGAAAATTCTCAACAATAATTAATTGAAGCCAACTAATTACCAAGCAGGAATGTATATCCACTCCGGAAACCATATACACATATACCCGGTACCGCAGGGAACCCTTGCTTTTTTTTTTTTTTTCTTCTTTTTTTTTTAAACAGGTTTATCGTCTAGGCTCAATAACATAAACTGGAACACTACAACGTAATACGTAACATAATAAAACCGCGATATCATGCCGTGCGGTGTTACCTAACCAGATTTCAGACCTACTCCCTCAACTTCCATTACTCCATAATGGTATAAACCTTCCTTTATAACCGCCACCAATAACCACCCATAAATATATATTCCTATTAATAACTCATTGATAGCTCCACACAAAGTGGAGAACAAGAACCAAAAGGTTTTACATATTTACAAACTTTGTACTTCAAAGACATATGATTCATACATATTCTGTATAAAAATTATGACACACTTGTCAATTCGTAATGACCTTGCCCCCACGGACATTCTTTCAAAATCTTAGCAACCTCCTAAGATACCTAATTTGCCACTTCAATATACAGACATCTCAAAACTTTTGGCTAATCCTCTTCGCTACCAATGTGCCCTTTCCGGCCTCTCCATGAGGTTAACAGAAAAACAAAGGTTAAAGATATCATAACTGTTCCTAAATAGTCGCCCCAGCATTTATCGCATGCGATTCCAGTCCGATATTCAGGTTTAAATAAGTCGATACCGCTACCCATAAACATGATAAACAAACCATATTAGTATCTACACAGTCATCGTAAACGTGACGTCGTTCCAGAAAGCACAACTACAACAGATATATCTACCAACAGATATATCTACCAAGTGCAAACATTTACATGAAATACATGCCAAATATAGAAAAAGAAAGTCGAATTTGTTTTACTTCCCATTATCAGTGCCAGACTTTTGTTTTTTGGTTTTGTTTCGTTTTGTTTTGCTTAACTCTGCCTCCAAAAGTGACCTTCTCGTGTAACAATAGCTTATGTTTTATTGCATCTTTCGGGGTAGTCTTGATCTCCCTGGGAAGACACCATCAGGGCCCCGTTTAAAAAAACTTGTCATCAGTGACAAATGACAGTTTTTGTAATAAGCTACTGAAATCCTTGCTTCTGATTGGTTATCAGCAGATTTCTCACTGATTTTTGTCATTTTTCATTGTAAAAAAGCTTTGTGAACCCCCCCCCCCCCCCTTCCCCCTGGACTATGAAATGCCCTCGAAGATATTGTTTCAAATTGTTTTTATTTCAATATATACTCATTCAAGGAAAGGTAACATCGCTCTCTTATTTAGTAATAGCATGATTTCGTATTACATCTTTCGTTTTCGTCTCCTGGCACTCAACTTATCCTCCATCTACCTCTCTCTCTCTCTCTCTCTCTCTACTCTCTCTTTCTCTCTTTCTTTATGAAATTATGCATAATAAATTGTACCTGTACACAACAATCATAAGGAAGACAGTTCTGCGTATATTTTATACATAATGAGACCATTACAATGTTTAATATACACGCACAACAGAGTTTGATCTCCATGTTTATATTCATGAATAACCTGCTTCCTGATTCATTAAATAATTTCTATGTATTAAATGATACTATCCATTTTTATCCTTCTCGGAATTCATGAACTTTCATTTGATAAATACTTAATGATTGTTCCTGCATAAATCAATCAGACATCATAGTCAATATTTATGGAATGCATTCCCAGATTTAGTAAAATCATGTCAAACCCTTCATTCATAAAAATTAATACGAAGACAGCATTTCTGTCAAAGTACATTGTTTGATCTTTTCCCGGAGCTGAATTAATATATTTAATATCATTAAATAAATTATATAAACACTCATCACTGTATTTGATTAATCCCATATAGGCCTATTCATATTAGTTTTCTAAGTCAGACATAATTATTTACATCAATATATTTCCATTTTCATTTTCGATGTTATCATTATCAATATCATCACCATCATAATTGCGTAGCACCAGAAGTCTCAAGTTTGACAGATATGAGCGCTTGACAAGAACCCACCATTAATATCATCATCAGTGACCATCACCATTTTCCACCCCCCCCCCCCTACCTGGGCTATCGCTATCAAGTGCTTACGGTGTTAGCCCTTCTTCTGCAGTTGTATCTTTTTGATTTGATTTGTATGTTGCAGAAAAATTTCAATTCAATTCAACCTAATATTGTTAGGATTATCATACACATTAAAACAAAGCTTTTGAGATAGATTTGATACAATCTGTCGAATATCTGCTAAGTGTTGGAATGGCTCAGGTGTTCTTCGAACACCCACCATATTATAAATTAATGTCTATCAAGGTCCTTGAGTACCCCATATTCAGTGATAGTAGTGATTCCACCACCGATTCAAATACTATATCATGTAGCGGTTTCGTTGGAACGTGGATCACATAGTGCCGCCGCGGTACTCTGTCCTTTGGCAAGACATTATTCTACAGTTTACTCTCTTAACCCAGGTATAATAAATGTGTAGGAATGTTTTCGTTCAGGAAGATGTCCGAGGTTTATTGTCTTTGGCGGTAGTTGTCATGGGGAATTTTTGGGTAGTAGTCCTTGGGGATGTTTCACAAAGACTAAGATCGACTTTAAGTTGGACTTAACTGTGGCATGCCATTCATGCCACTGGTTGCTATCATCACTGGTCTCTCAATTATGATCTTTAGATACCATTGTTTCCGTCAATGATGAACTATCAAAAAAGGTAAATTTTGTGGATTTGTGACCACGATTTTTACGTCCCTTGAGAGACCAAAGCCAGTAAATGGTGAGGGTAAACAGTGGCATGAACAGCCTGCCATAGTTAAGTCAAACTTAAAGTCGATCTTAGTCTTTGTGAAACACTCCCCTGGAGTGAAAGATTGAGGATGCCCATCCGGGGAAGTTGTCTTGATAAGGGATATCGCTGTTTGTTGTGATGTACATATACATTTCAGTGGTTAAACCAGAGACGGGTCCCTAGCTTAACATACAGAGCAATAGGCTAACCTTTAGAGGGCGCCTGCCAAAAATATCAAGGTCCAGCATTATTAAGAAAAGGTAATGTTGTCTTTAGATCTTTACAAATTCTGCTGATCTGCGACAGACTAATCAGGGCTACTATCTTTGATAAAATGTTGGTATCTGTTGCTGTGTGAGGCTTCCATCTCCGAGTGGCATTCCGTTACAGATCCAAAAACAATATTAACTTTATCACATAGTACATATCTAAAGATTTTCGTAGTCATTTTCGTTGAGTTGCTTAGGTGCCAGAGACGTGTCATCCGCAATAAGCTCCAGATATTCCGGCTCCGCGATCTTAAGAGCCTGGTAACTATTGTTTTCTTTATCATCTTTTTGGCATAAATCTTGATATGCGTTCTCGTTCAATTTGCTTGGAGTCACGGGAATCTTGTCATCGTCTGGCCCTTGATTTAAACCAATAACCACAGCCTTCTTCACATTATATCCCGTAGTAATTTCCTGGTAGGTCCCTTCTCTTAAAAGGTCTTGGTAAGGACCTTGTGGAGAAACATCATGTCTAATCTCCGGTAAATGGTACTCATGATATTCATCTTGTTCTTTGCAGACCTCTTCTCCTACCACATTGTAGATGTCCACGTTGTCTTGGTTTGAACATGGAACAGAGGTATGGAGCTCCGTGTAGTCGTGTTTCAGGGCATCCTCCAGAGACCCGGTAGTGATTGCGGTATTGGACGGACTCATCGGGTTAGCGCACTCTGCGTATTCATTTTGATCGTTGTCAATCATGTAGTTCGGGTTAGCAACTTCTTTTGAGGTTTGATGTGGTCCCTGATCTTTTGTTGATGAAAATCGCCTATAAAGAAAAAAGTTAGTTTCCAAATGTAAGCGATAGTAATAAGGGTTGGGCAAGAATAAGTCAAAGCCATGCTTCCTGGAGTGGCAATATTTTGTAATGTACTCGAAATTATTACTAGATACCCTTCGCCTCTGGATATAATTTCAACATCGGTGATACCATAAAAAGCATTTATGGGAGAACATTTTATGAAGGTTAGCCTATGCCTACACCACAGTTTGTTTCATGGATATAATATCTATAGGCCTACAGCAATGTACAAGTGAACTTATTAATTGACAGGTACTTTTTGTAATAAGACGCCTATAGGTAGATACTGGTAAATAATTTCGATCGTCAAAGGAATACTGAAGGAAATATTCGTCTACTGAAGAATTAATGGTATAAATGATGATACTATTGTTTCTCAGGAACTAACAAAATGAGCTACTAGAGTCGGGTTACACGTACCGTCGCCTATAGCAAATAACTGCAACAATAACGGCTGTAAGGATGACAGCAATTAATAGAACGACTACAACTGGAACCACTGCACCACGATGACCTGCTGAAAAAAGCAATGTTGCATTTTTTAGGTAGATTAAAAATTTTGATATTTTTAGACTCATGTAACAATTTAATGGTCAGGAATATTGTTTAATTTAGTTCAGTTCTATTCATTTCATATTTTACATTTCACACCGTTACACCATTGGCAAGAAAGATAGTAATACATATTTTAATAACATTTGGAATAACATAAGTACTAAAGTAAGGTATATGTAATCCCTTTGCTTGTAGTTACTCGTAAATTGGGGACTACTGTAAATTCTAGCAATGCTAATTTAACAAAACAAAAATGTGTTGACACTATTAAAGATAAAATTATATCCCATAAGATAGACATTATTCGAAACCGTTGGAACATTTATATGCTCCGGGCTCTATTTCAACAAAAGTATTCAGAGAGGGTCAGGATTGCAATCGGGTTTTATGTTAGGTTTAGGTTAAGGTTTAGGATTAGTATTAAGCATCGTGTTGACTCCAGGGATGAAGTCAGAATTCGGGTGGTCGAGGAAATTACTCGAAGCAATTGTCGCATGAGCTTGTGTCATAAAACATTTGATTGCAATTCGTGCATTCATTTGCAAATATTCCGTGTTTTAAAGGTTTTTGTCTGATTAATGTGGTAACTTACCAGAAGCTGGTGGCGATGGGCTCATGGTTGTCACGGTAGCCAGTGGATCCACTGAATGAGTAGAAATAATAAAACAAAAATAATAAAATATCATTATGCGCGACAAATAGGCATGCAAAGAAAAGCTAAGCTGAATTTGTATTTGTTCTTTTTTAAACAATAACGTTTGAAATTGCGAGGCGGTAGAATAACATGATAACACCAGTTAAAAAACAATGTACAAACATAACAAAAAGGCTAGTGAGACAACCTGGTAGGTAAGAGCAGCGTTGTTCAACCTTTTTTTTTTAGTCACGAAACCTTTTTGAGAGATACATAGTTTCGCCTAACCCCAATCCTAAATTCATCATAGAAGATTAATTTTGAATCACTCTGGCACACGTCAAGTGCCATGTATACACGTAACGGCACATTGGTTTCTAAATATTTTCGAGGGAGCAAGGCAGGTGAGAAAAGTATTACAAGTTGATACTGGAGAATGGGAATTTAGACGGGAACAACTATGATAATGATGATAATGTTCTGCGTTTTACATATATACAAAGATTTAAGATGTCTCTAAGGGTTTACCAGATATATTATTACCCCAGTTATCGGATTCAGGGTTGCCCGCACACAGTTTATTCACATTCGACACTACCTTTACAGACGTTCATAATGCTGAGCAAACAGGCTATTAAACCTACGGGGTACCAAATTAACATCTGGGTAAAGAGAGTCAAATGTGGATTAATAGTTTGCCAAATGAAGTTTAATTAATGCAGGGCCGGGCTTCGAACCCCGGTTTCAGTGCGAGTCAAGTGAATAAACCACTACATCACGACATCTCCACTTTGCTATTTGTAGGCGAGTTGTCATGCATTATTCATCGTGAGTTTCATTATTGAGGGTGTCGTACAACTCCAACCACCACTGCAGATTTATTTCATTGTCTCATGCCATTGTAAACAGATATTTCTTTGTTTTAATAATGTGGACAACCATATAGAAAATTAACGAAGCACTATTAATAAACCATTAATTTATATGTAACAAATGAATCAGAAAATGTCTGCTTACCAATACAACCTGTTCCATTGAAAGTATATCCTTCATTGCAGAGGCACGTGAATGATCCAGGAGTGTTCGTACATGCAGAATTTGCGTAACAATTGGAGTCGCCAATTTCACATTCATTGACATCTAGATTTAAAAAAAGAAAGAAAAAGGAGTAAGGATCCATTAAAGAGTAATCTGTTAATTATTTACATTGGGCCTAAAGCAGTCCATCATATAATGTTTAAATCTTGAATTACCACTCTTATCATTTACCTAATTTCTCCCAAAGAACATTTGTATCCATCATCAGTATCTTTATTGTGGGCGTTGTACATCTCCAACCACCACTGTCGATTTATTTCATTGTTTTATGCCACTGTAAACCGATATTTCTTTGTTTTAATAACGTAGACAACCAAATGAAATACTTACCAAAGCACGATAAGCCATGGATTTGTATGTAACAAATGAATTAGAAAAATGTCTGCTTACCAATACAACCTATTCCATTGAAAGTATATCCCTCATTACAGATGCACGTAAATGATCCGGGAGTGTTAGTACATGCAGAATTTGCGTAACAATTGGAGGTGCCAATTTCACATTCATTGACATCTAGATTTTAAAAAAAAGAAGAAAAAAAGTAAGGATCGATTAAAGAGTAATCTGTTAATTATTTACATTAAGCATAAAGCAGTCCATCAATTAATGTTTAAATCTTGAATTATCGCTCTAATCATTCACCTAATTTCTCCCAAAGAACAATAAAAAAAATTCCGGGCACAGTGGATTTTGACCATCGCTTAATGTGGCGGGGTGAGGGCGCTGCAGGCCCCTGCTAATTTCGAAATCTGTTCGGACAACCCTCACGTAATATTCGGACAAACGTCATGGCTTTTGGACGTTTTTTTGTGCGATATCAAATTTGATGACAAAAATTACTTTGACGCTGTTATAGTAAAAGGTACGAGAATTTGATATCCTGCAAGAGACGTCACCTCTTTTTTTCTCCGTATGGTCATGTCAGATGCTAAAGACATAAAGTTATTGGGCTTGATTTTCGAATAGGCCTATTATCCGTAGCTGATTACCTGTACAAGTGGACCCACTCCCTCTGTATCCAGGATTACAGGCGCATTTGAAAGATCCTGGAGTGTTGGTACATGCAGCATTTGTGTCACATGTGCCTGGTCTACTTGTACACTCATCGATGTCTGAAAATATGTAATGATTGAAAGCAGAGCTAGTGATAATAAAGGTCGTTCAAATTATTATATTCTTTCAAAGACAGTGTATCTAGTTTGTTAGTAAAACAGTCAGATTCTCCCTGCTGATTTTAAAGGGCAATCCTACCTTTTTAAATGAGTTGTATAGAAGCAGATTAATAATAAAAAACAGAATGGGGAAGGGTATGGATGTTTGAAATATAAGATCAGTAAACATATGCGAATATTAACTTGGCAATTTGGTCAGTGGATTGTGACAACCATGAACAACTCTCCCGATTGCTGTGTACAAAGAAAATCATTAATTTCCGTTTTTCTCCCGAGCGCTTTCTCCCTTGTAGCACTATTCAAAATACATTAATATTATGGATAGCATTTTATTGAAGGTCCTTGTAAAAGAAAAACCCCTCCTGAGTCATGCACTTTTTTTTAAACTGACATATTAGCCATTTTGTATGTTGGAACATAATAAGAACTTTTTTTTTGCCTCAAAGTGATATAACGGAATCAATTTGAAATTCCAATATGTAGAGACAACAGTTATACTTGTTCATGTTATGTCCCATTTCGTTCAAAGTTTCAAAAAGCTCCTTTTCTGATTGTTCTGATTTCTGTCAGGTTAATTTGGTAATAAATAGCGATATGGGGGTAGACTCGGTAGAGAGAGCAAAGTTGGACTTTTGTTCAACCTACAAACTATCATTGCAATTATTCAAGTCATTGTTTCATACCAATGCAGCTGAATCCGTTGCCGGTGTATCCAATGTTACAGGCGCAGAAGAAAGAACCAGGAGCGTTATGACATGTTGCATTTGCATCACAACTGTGAGTACCGGCTGCACATTCGTCGAAATCTTGATAATTCAATAAGATTGATACAATACATGAGCTTTGAAGAAAATAAACATTGAAAATAATAAACTAAACGAATTAGTGTATTAAAGGCCGAGACGTAAGCAATGAATTTTTCTTCTTCTTCTCATTCTTCTTCTTTTTGTTCTTATTGTTCTTATCATCTTGTTGTTTTTCTTCTTCAGTTTTTTAAACTGAAATTTTAGTAATTTTGTATATTGGAACATTTAAGATCTTTGTTCTGCCTCAAAGTGATATTACCGAATCAATTTGAAATTCCAATAATCGTAGCGATAACAATTTTTTAAAATTTTATTTACCATTTTCCCAAGCTTTCAAATGGCTCCTTCTCTGATCGTAATAATTTCTGTCATTTGCCAATAAGGTTGGACTTTCGTTTAACCCGGCTACAAACTGTCAATGCAATTATCCAAGTCATTGTTTCATACCAGTGCAGCTGAATCCGTTGCCGGTGTATCCAACGTTACAGACGCAGATGAAAGAGCCTGGAGCGTTTTGACATGTTGCATTGTCATCACAACTGTGAGTACCGGCTGCACATTCGTCGAAATCTTGATAATTCAATAAGAATGATACAATACATGAGCTTTGAAGAAAATAAACATTGAAAATAATAAACTAAACGAATAAGTGTATTAAAGGCCGAGACGTAACCAATGATTTTTTTTTCTTCTTTTCATTCTTCTTCTTTTTGTTCTTATTGTTCTTATCATCTTGTTGTTTTTCTTCTTTTTCGTCATCATCATCATCTTCTTCTCATTTCTTTCCCTACCTCTTTTTTTCCCTTCTTATTCTTCATTTTGTTTGGTTTTTGTAGCTTTTTTTCTCTTCTCTTCATAATTACTTTATATTAGTATTATACTGTGCCGGTGTCTGGAGATTTATACAAAGTAAAAGTCAAACGAGGTAGGGGTGAACTTAATGATTGCGATTGGGAACATTTTAGATGACGTTATTCATTAGTTGCATAATCACGGATTCAATTCAATTCATTCAATTTCGGTTTTATTACAAATATACCAAATAAAAAGTCCAAAGACTAACAATAATTGGCTTACAATGTATCATATAAAAATGCATTAAAAACAGTAGATTAAAAAATTCAGTAATAAGTTAAATTACATTGCTCACATTGTATCATATCAAAATGCATTAAAAACAGTTGAATTAAAAATTCAGTAATAACTTAAAGTATGAAGGAAAAAAAAAAAAAAAAAAAGATTGTAAGTTATAAAATTGTGATAATCAGTTTGTCAGTGAATTGAGAAGAGAGAAGAAATGAAGAGTGAAAAGTGGAAGAGAGGGAGAGGGAAAGGATAACGAGAGAAAAAAGAGTTCAATTCATGACAAAAAAATGTAAGCAAATGAACGAGAATTGAGTTGATTCAGCTTAATGAAGCATTGTAAAAGTAAAATGCACATAATACGGAAATGTCAAATGAGTTGAGTTTGAGTGTGAGTTGAGTTTGAAGTTTATTATCCAAAACAAAAAAGTACATCAATATAACAATCAAATGTGAATGATTAATTAACATTGAAAGGATAAATGGGACCAGAAAATAGCATTTAATGCTAATCGTGTCTAGTACCACTAACACACAAAAAGTATCACAGCAATAAATGAGAATGTAATGAATAAATATGAATAACTAGTGAATTCATACCTAAGCTACAAACTATTCTACATCTAGGGTAAATGTGTTCTGCGCTTATATACAAAGCTTTGGTATTTTACACTAAATAAAAGATGAAGAATTATATAACAAAATATTTACAAAAAGGCAAGAGCCTTGGTTCTAAGTTATAAGTTAGATTAATACGAATGCCATTATGGAATTGTTATTATACTGTTTAAAATTGGTGAATGTCAACGACCTATACATATTGGTGAACATTATTAATGAGTAATTATCACATTATCAGAAAATTGAGAAGAGGAAATACAAGACAGAAATAGAGAAACAGTGGGAGAGGGGAGGAGGGAAAGGAGAAGGAGAGAAGAAAGAAGAAATAAAGAGTGAAAAGTGGAAGAGAGGGAGAGGGAAAGGATAACGAGAAGAAAAAAAAGAGAGTTCAATTCATGACAAAAACAAAATGTAAGCAATTGAACGAGAATTGAGTTGATTCAGCTTAATGAAGCATTGTAAAAGTAAAATGCACATAATGCGGAAATGTCAAATGCTACATGACTAAGAATGCCATTATGGAATTGTTATTATACTGTTTAAAATTGGTGAATGTCAATGACCTATACATGTTGGTGAACATTATTAATGAGTAATTATCACATTGTCAGAAAATTGAGAAGAGGAAATACAAGACAGAAATAGAGAAACAGTGGGAGAGGGGAGGAGGGAAAGGAGAAGGAGAGAGAAAGAGCTAGAAAAAGGGAGGAAGAGAGAGAGAGAGAGAGAGAGAGAGACGGAGAGAGGGAGAGAGTTCGAAAAATGACAATACATAAAACAGATCTAACAAGATTTCAGTTGATCGAATTTAGCAAACGAACAAGAGAGGAAACTGCCGATTGTTTGTAACGCTGGGTTCTGCAACGTGGAAGGGACAAATGATCGGAGTTTCTTAAACTGCGGCAAGTATTCACATGGCGCGGTTGTGGCAGGAGATGGCGGTGTCTTTGAGAACCCAGAAGTGATTTCGGATTGAATTAAAGATGCGGGCTTTTGTTTAATTATTCTTAACATAGAATTGATGTGAATTAGAGGTTGAGATCCGAGCCGCCGGTATCAGGAGGTCCATCCTTCCAAGGGCCCCTCTCACAAGCATAGCTTTTGGGGTCCCAACTTGGATCATGTTTGTTCGTCATAATGGCTCTGTATGTTTTTGTTTTTTTGATAGACTGAACTGAACTGAACTGACAGAAAAAAGCGTTACCTTTGCATGTGTAGGCTACCTCAAGGTACTTATGTATTCCTCGGCACGGATCACCAGCAAGGGTATTCGTTGCTGTAATTCTGCATTGCGATTGGCCGTTACAATCTGAACCGAGAACAGCCTCCACGTCTACTCCACAAGTCGTGTCTGATACTTGTTGGTGAGGACAGGTTGTGCTATCAGTTCGTCCGTAGACAGCAGTGCAAATGTTGATAAGGCCCTCTCCGCAATTGATTTCAGTAGTAACCCTCTCACAGACAATTAACTTCTCTGCATGTAGAAGAAAAGAGTAGACCACTGGCTTAATTAAAGCTAATCTTGAACTCTGGTATGCGGCATCGTATGTCGAGAGAACGTGGCTATAATTTATTCGGGATTGTTAATCCTGCAGTAGATTGATTGTTCAAACCAGTAAAATAAAAACAATTTCACAAAAACTTGCTGGAAATCATCTATGAAAAAAATCACAACTCCCATCTGCACATAGTGACTTGTGTCGAGCTTTCTTACTTTGATTTCCTCACCTTTCTATGCTCATTACTCAGCCCCCTATATGTTTTCTACCATTTATTTGTACTCTTGAACATTCAGTGTAAGTTTTGATGGATTCTGTGAGAGTTTATTTTCTATCATCATCAAAACTCAAGCTTATATTTAAAGTAACCTGGCATTATGTAAATCTTCGCCCTTAGTTCACAGTTTAAGATAGTTGTGTTTCCATTCAGACCCTTTTGGACATACTAATGCGATGGGAGAATAACATGGGATATATATCATAACCATTATTATAGGCCATATGTATTAAGAATATACTAGTTGTAAACGATTAAAAACCGTTGATGAAATAGTATTAAAAGATGCATCAAATGTATTACACATCGAGTAACCTATACAAAAGAGAACATGTTCCCCGTCCTTGACAGAGTCCTGGATCTGCCACTGTGATTTTTTTTACCATCTATTTCTAAAGGCCAGCGAGATTTGCTTACCACATTCCTGAGTTGTGACTAATGATGCTTGCATGAGGACTAGCAAAGAGAAGGATACATGAAGCACCACCATACCTCTCCTCTCTGCCCAGGCCATGACTGTCCAGTTTTGAAGATGTTATCGAGTTGTGGTAGAAAAGAAAATAATTTGTTTCAGAATTAGTAACAGTTTCGTGGTATAGTGGTTCGTTCACTTGACTCTCAATCTTATGATTAATGGTTCGAATAATGAAATAATGACCTTCGGCAAGACATGGATCCACATGTTTTACTATCCACCCATGTGTCAGGTAATTCCTTTGGTAATAACAATGACAGGGTCCTCTAGAAGAACAGGAATGATGCTGATGAAGCTTTCCTGGGTAAATACAATTCCTATTTTAATTATAATCAAAATAATTATTATCGTTATTAATATTATCATTAGCAGTAGTAGTATTATTGTTGTTGTTCATGTTATTAATATCTTTATCAAACTTAACTAGCAACTAGATAATCAAGACTGCAGGGCAATAGATATCAGGCAAGATTTTCTGGCAAAAGATGCACAGAGAAGTAAGTTGTAACCAAAGATAATTGAAACACAATGAGGAAGTTAAGCAAATAGTTGACTTACTTTGCAAAATGTTGAAGTACTTTGCAGTGAACGAAATATTCATGCAAGATTCCGTCGATTTGGAATATATTTTGCTTGTCTAAACAACTTTGTGACATCCATAATTACATGTAGTCCATTCATGCCAATCAAGCCAGTTTCTCTCGAGAGATAGTCCCATTTAAATCATTCAAAAAGAGTTTTAACATCGTAGCGTTCAATATATGACTTTTCAACTTCCTCCTATAAGGTAGCCTTTATTCTGCACAATCTTATATCAGAACACTTCATACTCCTCACACGTACTAACACACAGTCATATAATAACACACTATCGTTATAAATGAAACTCAACGTTCGATTTGTGTTCCCTCCAAGAATGGCTCTTATCGTATGAATGGCCCGGTTCGATGATTTTGCTGAAAGAGAATGCGTTGAACCGGATGGGTACTTCAACACGATAATGCTCATAACAGGCAGCGGTTTACAAAACGATATTCCCTGGTTCGCCCCTCAAACCATACAAATGAGAATTGAACATCCAGTAAAGTGCCTGGGGAGATGTGAGTTGGTTTATCGGTACGGAACTTCACTCGCTCAACTCACTGTGAATCGGTCATTTGTAATTACTCCCAATAACTTTTTAAACCTTTTTCTATATGCTATGCACTTTCTCCCTCTTTTCTTTCTCTCCTGACTCTCTCTTTTCTTCCTCTAATTCATCTCTTTCTCTCCCTCTCTCCTTTTCTTTTAGTTACTTTCCTTTCTTGTTTTCCCTTCTTCATTCCATTTCTCTCCCCAGTCTCTCTGTCTCTTCGTACTTGTTTGAAGGAGATTGAAATGATTTACTTATCCATTTACCAAGGGCAATGGTATATTCCTCAAAGTAAACCATTATGCAGAAGACCGCTTTGTAAGAATCAAATTCGATGACGATTCACTTCTCCATGTCGTTGTACGTACCACAATAGTTGTCTGATAACCTCCAAAATACATTCCTTAACAAAAGAACTATTTCTCTCTGCTAAGGAAATAAATTAATTGGAGCAGGACTAATAGCATGAAATTGAGGAAATTAAATGATGATCAACAAATAAATCGGCTCATCACCCACCCTTTACAATCAAGCTGCTTGCATGGTCGAGTTATATGTGGCTTACTCCGTATTACGAAAGTAACGTGGTGTAGTAACCTACTTTTGCCTTGAAAGACAAATTCGAAATGATTTACTTATTCATTTACCAAGGGCAATGGTATATTTCTCCAAGTAGACCATTATGCAGACGACCGCTTTGTAAGAATCAAATTTGGTGACGATTCGCTTCTCAACGTCGTTGTACGTACCACAACAGTTGTCTGATAACCTCCAAAATACATTCCTATACAGTATAACATATTAGAACTAACTTCACTCTGCTAAGGAAATTAATTTATTGGAGCAGGATTAATAGCATGAAATTGAGGAAATGAACACGGTAAAAATAATATTCTGCGATCACAGCTCAAGAGATTCGTTCGCCCTTTAAACTATATGAACTACGTTCTCTTCTGATTCGTATTTGGTTTCGTTCTTTCTTCATTCCTTCCACCTTTCTTTTCTTTTTCTTTTTTTTTCTTCTCTTTCCATTTTTCTTTCTTTCTTAAAAAGAAGATGAAAGATTTAAAATAATTCTTTCGGACGTGGACAGATCGACCCTTGACATGCTTTTCCTCCTAATCCCTCTGTGGTCATTTCTTGCACGAAAAAAATAAAAAAATAAAAAGTTTCTTGCTCTGTAATCAAACAGATCATTGATTTAGTCCGCAAACTTTTCCTTTTTAATTGTTTGTATTGTTACAAAGCATGAAACCTTTCTGAAAATGAACATTGTGCGTCATGATGTTATTATGCAAGCACGTAGATTTTATTGTATATACATGTTTGTATTTCCAGACAGCAGACAATTCTGTATATCTGGCCGGACATATAGCCTTTTCGTAATTAATATTATAAATATAAAATACATTTCGTCTGTCAATTTGTATTTTAGTTTCATATCCCCCCCCCCCCCCCCAATAAAAAAGGTACCCCTTTCTCTCTTTTCACCCAGCTCTATTTCTGATTTGCATCAACTGCCCTTTTGAACACGCTGACGCATTTAGTCATTTATATTTCCCATGATGTAAGCCTTGATGTTCATTAATGATTTCTCCCTCTCTCCCTCTCTCTCTCTCTCTCTCCCCCTTTCTCTCTCTCTCTTTCTCATCAATCTCTTCATTTCAAAATGTAACTCTGTTACCACTCATCTATGTCGCTTTCTTGTTCTCGTTATTATATTTTTCTTCAACTCCCTACCACTCATGTTCCAGTTGGCAAATAATAATTACAAGGGGTAAATAATGCGGCTAACAATGAATGACATCACTATCGTCACAACTTTATTAACAATTACAACATTAACAGCTGCCGTATGTTAACATCGATACATATATTTCATACAATGTCACAAATAGAATGTCACCTATTCTGTGTCTCCACTATATATTTATATACAGATAATTCAGATGAACATGTTCCTTCACCGCTCTTTAATATTATTCTATACAGTGCAAATCGATGAACCCAAGAAACATTTCAGAATGTATGTATAAAGTGCAACTATTAAGATAAGTTTGTAGTATCATAATTATGCCAATCAGTTGTCATTTCGTCAACAAAAATAGGCAGGAAACTTCCACTTATTGCAACAGGCAATATTTCAACCCCTATAATATCATAACATATGCACTTAATAATACGTGAAAAATTGGGACAACCTGGAGGAGTGAAAAGGTTTACATATCCCAAATCAGTGATAAATATTTCTCATTTACCATACACAATAACAGAACCATGCAGTCGTACAAACATATCTACCAAACTGGGGTTCAGTTGGACGCACTCTGATGCACATTCTTTGTTCTGTTCTTGCCCGACAAAGGAATATGGCGCCGTATTGGCCCGAATTCACAAAGGAGGTTTGTCGACAAACCTAGGTTTATGTGCGTCATATCAAGCGTTTTGATGCGTTTCAGACCAAGGTTCAGACAAACCTTGATCTGAAATGCGTCAAAACGCGTCATATGACGCACATAAACCTAGTTTTGTCTACAAACTTCCTTTGTGAATTCCGCCAATGTGTCCAACCTGGACAATGCTGATACATACATCGATGATACCCTCAGATGAAATCCTATTATATTTTAGAAATTCGTAGCGATGCATGTGTGTGTGGGGGGGGGGGGGGGGGGGGGGCGGGGGGTAATTAGGCCATCATGAGCCCAGAAATGTTAGCCTACATTAGATTATAGTATGAATGTCTGTTTTGAGCATTCCCTAGGAGCGATCCGTGCGTAATATTAAAGTAGCTATTGATATTATTATTTGAGATGTAAACTTATTTGCTCTCATCTCAGGGCGTCCTTGAAAGTTGTTGCTCAGAGTCATCTTCTTTTTCTTTTTCTTTTTTGGAGAGGGGGGGGGGGGAGCAAGCACACAACAAAGAGTGTGCACCAGACTGTGTCCAACTGAATTCGAGTTCGGTCGATATGATTTGCTCTCTATATATCTGCTTATGAAAAACAGGGAAATAATTATCACAGATTTTGGCTATTTTTTTCAGTTTTCTACCACTCATATTTCTTAGAAACGTTTACATATTATTAAGTGTTATTCGATGATAATATAGCAGTTTAAATCTCTTCTGTTTAAACTTGCGAGAGGTCATTTCCGTAAAGCTACCGTACTAAATCATGTACATGGTGACCAAAATGTTTTCTACTTAGTTGTCATAAATGAGCACGAGAATCAAAATATCATCTTCACTTTTCTCTTCTCCTTGGTATGTTCGTACTATCATTTCGAGTCATAAGCGAAGTTGAGCTTCCCGTACTGATTGCCCATATCCGAAGCGCCGGTCCGACCCGGGGAGACCGTGTTTTCCGGGGGCCTCTGGAGATGTGAATAGTCTTCATCGACACCGTCTTGCTCGTTTCCTTGATATTGACGGTTGTCCAAGGTCTGATAGTTGTTTGTCTCATCTACAAGGGAACCACTAGGGTTCTCGTAATCATCGCCATCAGCAGATTTGTCTGTCATTATACCTGGATTGATAGGTGACGTTTCTGACAATTCCTTGCGCTGGAGATGGTCGTAAGGCTCTTCGGAGATGTCCTGCTTCGGAACTTCATAATCGGATGTCGCTTTTGGCTCTGCGCCGGGATAATCGTTATCAAGATCTCCAGTCTCAGTTGTCATACCCAAAGAACCATACCCGTTAGAGGGCGGGTGTCCGGACGTCTTTGGGCCATGTTGAAGCACGTCATATGTGCTATCCTTGTCCTGTTCCGTTGCCTCGGTGTTACCATTCATAGATTCGGGAGAGTTGTCATCTTTTATTAGGTGCTGGTATGTGTTATCTTGTAACGCTTCCTGTTTCATGGACTCTCCGCCTTGATCGAATCCACGGGCAGTATCATCGGAGCCAGTTTCATTTTTCGCGAGAGATTGGTAGTCATTGTTTGGGAGTGAACCAGGCTTAGGATATGCAGGAGATGGGTTATTCGTATTTGGCTCCAGGATGGCGTAATCAGGACCACTGGTCTGAAGCGCCTGGTAAGTATTATTCATTGATGCAACAGAACTACTGCTTTCAGGTTTCGTAGGTGTTTGTGCATTTAGGTGAAGGGAGGTGTAGTCGGTTTCATCTTTACGTAAATCTTGATATCCTTGGTCGACTGTTTCATTTGGAATGCCACGTTTCGTTTGACAGTGAAGATCCTGCTTCCTCCCTTTAAGAAGCTCTTGATAAGGTCCGTTTGGTGTTTTTTGTGCACTGTCTGGTAGGTTGTACTCGTGGTAGTCACCCTGTTCTTTTCCTCCGAACAAGACATTGTAGTCCTGTTCTCCTAACTCGTTGTAGATGTCTCCGTTGTCATGATTGGTAGGTGAGACTAGAGATGGAAGTTCGGTGTACTCTTCATCCTGATCCTGTAAAGTCTGCGTCTTGGAAATATGGTTCATTGCTGGAACAAAATGTTTAGCCCCGGGACTCGTAGGTGTACCGTCATCTCGGAGTACAGAAGTGTAGTTGCTATCGTCTTCACGTAAATCTTGATATGCGTGACTGTCCCTTTCGGTAGGAGCACCTTTATTTTGAGGCTGAAAGATCTTATCATTATCATCATTCAATGCATGTTCAACTCCTTTTAACAAAGTGTCCGTTGGGGAAGTTACTGCTTCCTTTATTCTGTCTTTCATAAGATCTTGGTAAGGACCGCTTTGTGTTTTCTCTGCAGTTTCTGGTAGGTTGTACTCGTGATAATCTCCTTGTTCTTTGCCTCCAAATAAGACATTGTAGTCCTGTTCTCCTACCTCGTTGTAGATGACCATGTTACCCTGTCTGGTGGGTGGGACAGAGGTGGGAAGTTCGAAGTACTCGTTGTGTTGATTGTCCTCAGACGACAAGGGCATGGCAACATTTGAAGCGCCCTCTATTGGATTTACACATTCTGTGTTATCGTTTTGGTCCATAGCGGAGGTCGTGAAGCTTGGGTTGAGAACAGTTGTTGGGGCGTCAAGGTGTGGGTCCCGATCTTTTGATCTAGATAATTGTCTAGAAAGAAGAAGGAAAGAAGGAAAGGTAGGATAACGTCAAAAGATACATGAATTATAAAAGGATACTAAAGCAAGAGTTTGGCAGAATATACGATGAGTCTCCTTGTTCAGTTAAAAATGGTTAATGGTCTTTATTTATTGCATTGCCTGTTAGGGAAGTTCTATAAAGAAACAGAATTGTTGTACATATACAATGAGTCCTATCCGAGGGAATAAATAATGGAGACGATGAAATTAACTACGATTAAAGTCTTCACCCCCCCCCCCCCTCCCACACACACGCACACCCGTACGCAGACACACATAAACACACACACCTCGCTCTTCTTCTCTGTTTGTTTCTGTACCACATCAATCGATTTTGGCTATACTGTTCCAGACTCCCTCCCTTTGTTGCCATCAACATTAGCCCCATGCCACGACCCCTCCCCCGTCTCTCTCTCTCTCTCTCTCAGATCATCTATGTACACTACCCAACCGTAAACCAGATATTTTCCATTAATTTTGAGAAGAAAACTAAGTGTTTCCGAACAAATTATGGGAATAAGAATGATAAAAAATTATACGGGAAAACAACTAAGAATAGAGCAACATAGAAAATGGTACCTCCTCTTGTAGCAGATGACTCCAGAGATAGCAACAATCAAAAACACGACAACGACGACGATGACGGCTGGGATCACTGGACTAATGGAGTCTGTGGATGATGTATCTGAGATATATTATAACAAATATATATAATATAGACATGATTCGAAACCATTTGGACATTTTACTTGAATAGTTGAAGGTGTTTATTCTTTAACCATATAGTCATGAAATTCCCTTTCATATGGGGGATAATGAATTTGATCGGGCGACAACTGCTCCGGGCTCTAAATGTATACCCGTAAAGCTATGCGTACAATAAAGTTAGCAAAGATGCGCATTTTCATTATTTATGCATAATTAATGTGGTTATTTAACAGAGGCTGGTGGCGATGGTCCAATGGTTGTGACGGTTGTCATTGGATGAACTGAATGGGTTGAAATAATAATACCAAACAAAAATATTATTATTCGCGACAATCAAGGCCTGCAATGAAAAGCCAAACTGAATTTTAATTTTGCTCTGTATTTAAACAATAACGTATAGAATGTCACGGTGATCCAATTACATGACAGATCATTAGTTGAACAACAATGCACAAACGATATTAAAAAAAAGACTAGTGAGAGAGCAGGATAGGATTTGATTTGGAGGCCCCGTGTACAGAATAGAGTCACCACCTTTGCACGTCATGAACCCACTGCACTATTCGTATAAGAGTAGGGGAAAACCCCGGTATAGTGGTCCAGCTGCACATCCCAGCAACCTTGGCGTTATATCCTGACTTATGGATCCTGTCAAGTATCGACGTAGAAGAAGAGCACCGTTTTAAAACTTTGTTTTACTCACGGCACACTTTTAAGAAATACAAAGTTTCGCGCCACCTCAATCCTAAATTCATCACAGAAAATGTTGCATCACTCTGGGACTCGCCAAGTGCCATGCATGCACGTAAGGGCACATTTCTTTATAATTTCTTGAGAGCGAGCGAAGCAAGTGAGAAAGAAAAATGACCCTTTAATGTGGTTTACAAAATAATGTGGTCATTTACCAGAGGCTGGTGGCGATGGTCCAATGGTTGTGACGGTTGGTATTGGTAACACTGAATGGGTTGAAATAATAAGACCAAACAAAAACATTATTATTCGCGACAATGTAGGCCTGCAATAAAAAGCTAAACTGAATTTTAATTTTGTTCTGTATTTAAACAATAGCGTATAGAGTTGCGAGGTGATCCAATTAGTACGTGATAATTCATCAGTTGAACAACAATGCACAAACAATAACAAACAAAATCAGACTAGTGAGAAGCAGAGAGCAGCGTTTTTCAATCTTTTTTTTTTTTTTTTTTTTACTCACGGCTCCTTTTTAAGAAATACAAAATCCATTTTACAGACGCTCACAATACTGAGCAAACAACACTAGCTAACCTACCCGTACCGGATAGCCATTCAACACCTGGGTGGAGAGTGACAAATGTTGACTAATTTCTTGCCAAAGGACATTTAATTAATGCAGGGCTGGGATTCGAACCCTCAACCGTTTCGTTGCGAGTCAAGTAAATAAACCCTTACAACACGACGTCTCCACTTTGCTTTAACTGCTATTTTTAGTTGTCATGATTTATTCATCGTGAGTTTCAATATTGGTGGCAATGTACAGCTGCCACCACAACTGCCGATTTCTCACAATATCTCCCGCCATAATAAAGCGATAAAAGAATAATAATTTGTCGACAAACGAATTAAAATACTAAAATAAGCACTATAAACCATAAATTTGTCTGTTACAAATAAATGGGGAAAATATCTGCTTACCGATACAACCTGTTCCATTGAAAGTATATCCCTCATTACAGGTACATGTGAATGATCCGGGAGTGTTCGTGCATGCAGAATTTGCGTTACATTTGTCGATGTCATCTTTACATTCATTGACATCTAGACAAAAAACAAAGCAAAGTCATGATCCATTTAAAATAATCTGTTGATTATTTACTTTCGGCCTAAAGCAGTCCATCAACTAATATTTAAATCTTGAATTATCACTCTAATCATTCACTATTACCCCATTCACAGTGGCCTCAAACACCGCGACAGCAGCGGGACTGTCCCGCTGCTGTCGCGGTGTTGTCTTCAGTGTGAAGGCTCGGACCCGTTATAAACTATCGCGGGATAACACCGCCTCGCGATAACGCCGCGACAAACTATCGCTAGGTTCGCCTAGCTACAGCAGCGGGACAGTCCCGCTGCTGTCGCGGTGTTTACTCAGTGTGAAGGCTCTCCGCTATAACACCGCGACAAACACGTGTGATTTGTTTACTTACCTATCACTGACCTCTTTTCTCCAGCAATGGGGAACATAAAGTGAAATAGAAATAAAGTAACCAGTAGATTCAAATTGATTTTATTATTTTGTAGATATTATAATTATCCAAATAAAAATATTTCACACTTCAAAAAATTAAAATATTCTGACTGGAAGCAATAAAAATGCTAGTTTTTTAAAAAGTAATATGATCGAGGATACAAAAAGCAACTTGACATGTTTACCTTTTACAATCGAAAACCCCGCGCTGAAGTATTTCCGGTCATATCGGGGTCACTCGCGGGTCATGAGCCATGCATACACGTGTTTGTTACGGAGGTAATAAAAATCACCCGCTGCAGCGTGAATGGGTACATGATATTTATCCCGCTGCTGCAGCGGGATAACTTTTCTACTGTGAATGCATTTGTAGCGGTGTTATGGCGGTGTCGCCGCTCCGCTACAACGCCGCTACAAATTTCAAAACCACTGTGAATGGGGTATAATACCCCATTCACAGTGGCCTCAAACACCGCGACAGCAGCGGGACTGTCCCGCTGCTGTCGCGGTGTTGTCTTCAGTGTGAAGGCTCGGACCCGTTATAAACTATCGCGGGATAACACCGCCTCGCGATAACGCCGCGACAAACTATCGCTAGGTTCGCCTAGCTACAGCAGCGGGACAGTCCCGCTGCTGTCGCGGTGTTTACTCAGTGTGAAGGCTCTCCGCTATAACACCGCGACAAACACGTGTGATTTGTTTACTTACCTATCACTGACCTCTTTTCTCCAGCAATGGGGAACATAAAGTGAAATAGAAATAAAGTAACCAGTGGATTCAAATTGATTTTATTATTATGTAGATATTATAATTATCCAAATAAAAATATTTCACACTTCAAAAAATTAAAATATTCTGACTGGAAGCAATAAAAATGCTAGTTTTTTTAAAAAGTAATATGATCGAGGATACAAAAAGCAACTTGACATGTTTACCCTAAAACCCCGCGCTGAAGTATTTCCGGTCATATCGGGGTCACTCGCGGGTCATGAGCCATGCATACACGTGTTTGTTACGGAGGTAATAAAAATCACCCGCTGCAGCGTGAATGGGTACATGATATTTATCCCGCTGCTGCAGCGGGATAACTTTTCTACTGTGAATGCATTTGTAGCGGTGTTATGGCGGTGTCGCCGCTCCGCTACAACGCCGCTACAAATTTCAAAACCACTGTGAATGGGGTACTAGTTTCTCCCAAAAGAACAATGAAATATTGGATTTTGACCATCGGTTGATGTGATAGGGTGAGGGTGCTGCAGACCCCTGCTAATTAGTGTCCATTTATAGTACTCCCATTATGTAAAAATATGTAGAACAGGTGTCACTTGCATATTCACCTGTTCACATGTTTACATAATAGGAGTGAAGGGATGTTCCTTTGTCTACCACAGCAATTGTTGAGGGTAGAATGAGGAACTGTTTATTTTGTCCTCTTTCTTTGTCCGTCATGTTCATAGTGTCTGGACATTTGTTAGTGTGACATAATTTTATGACAAAATTACACTGGCGCTATATAGTAAAATGTACGATAATTTAATATCCTTCCAAAAGACGCCACCTCCTTTTCTCTATGGTCATGTTAGATGCTAATTAAACATAACTAAAAACATAACATAAACGTTATTGAGTTTGATTTTCGAATAGAGGTATTATCCGTAGCTGATTACCTGTACAAGTGGACCCACTCCCTCTGTATCCAGGATTACAGGTGCATTTGAAAGATCCTGGAGTGTTGGTACATGCAGCATTGGTGTTACATATGGCTGGTCTACTTGTACACTCATCGATATCTAAAAATATATGTAATGATTGAAAGCAGATATAGTGATGGGTGGTCAAATTATTATATTCTTTCGAAAACAGAAATCTGTTATTACCTTTGTATCTAGTTCTTATATCAATCATGAGTTCATTTTCTACGACAACTCCACAATAAAGATCACCGTCTCCTATAGGAACCCTAAAAAGATGTACGGATATATCCCTTTGCAAATTTGTATTTGTTTCTTTCTCTCTCTTTCCTCCATACCTCTCTTTCCCCTTATTCTTCTCTTTTCTCTTGTTACTAAACTCTCCTACGATTCTAGGCTAGGGCTTTTTTTTTAGTTATACCTACAAACAATCATCCCGATTAATTCAGTCATCATTGCCTACCGTTGCAGTTGTGTCCGTTGTCGGAGTATCCAATATTACAGTCGCAGAAGAAAAAGCCAAAAGCGTGTTGACATCTTGCATTTGCATCACAACTGCTGGTACCACCTGTGCATTCGTAGAAATCTTGATAATTCAATAAGATTGATGCAATACATAAGCCTTGACAAAAAGTCGTTAAAACTTTTTAATAAATCTTACTTCAGTGTAAGGACGAGACGTAAACCAAAATTTCGTTCTTCTTTTTTTCTTTTTTACCATTTTTTTTCTTCTTGTTCTTAATATTCCTGTTTTTTTTTTCTTCTTCTTTTCTTCATCGTCATCTTCTTCTCATTTCTTCCCCTTCCTCTTTTTTTTTTTTTTTTTTTTTTTTTTTATTTTTTATCTTTTTCTACATTTTGTTACGTTGCTGTTGCTTTTTTCTCTTCTCTTCATAATTTCTTTAATGTGTATGTGCCGGTGTCTGGAGATTTATTTAAAGTAAAAGTCAAACGAGGTAGGATGAATTCGGAACATTTTAAATGGCGTTATTCATTAGTTGCATAGTCACGGATTGTATTAAAGATGTGGGCTTTTGTTTAAATTAATGTGAATTAAAAGTTGAGAGAAAAACGTTACCTGTGCATGTGTAGGCTATCTCAAGGTACTTATATGTTCCCTTGCACGGATCACCATTAAGATCATTCGATGCTATAACGGTGCATTGCGATTGGCCGTTACAATCTCGATCGAGAACAGCCACTACGTCTACTCCACAAGTCGTGTCTGATACTTGGTCGTCAGGACAGGTTGTCTTGTCCGTTCGTCCGTAGACAGCAGTGCAAATGTTGATAAGGCTATTTTCACAATTGATTTCAGTCGACTGACTCTCACAGACAATTACCTTAGTCTCTGTAGAAGAAAAGAGAAGACCACTGGCTTAAAGTAGCCCGAGCAGTATGTAAATCCTTGCCCCTAGTTCACAGTAATAATTGTGTTTCAATTTGTCGACCCTATGGAAATACGAAGGTGAGGAACGAACACCGGAAAATATCATAACCATTATTATTGGTAATATGAATCGTGTACATACTAGTTATACAAAAAGAACACAACAAAAAAAAAATCGTTAAATGAAATATTATTCAAGGTTCGATCAAATTCATTACACAACGAGACAACCACTCCGATTTCCTACCCTCTATTTCCAATTACAATCGAGATTTGCTCACCATATTCCTGGACGGGTGGTGGTGTGACTGATGCTGCTTGCCTGAGGACTAGCAAAGAGAAGGATACACGAAGCACCATCAGACCTCTCCTCTCTGCCCAGGCCATGACTGTCCAGTTTTGAAGGTGTTATCGAGTTCTGGTAGAGAAGAAAATAAATTGTCTCAGAATCAGTAAGGGTATCGTGGTGTAGTGGTTCATTCACTTGACTCTCAATCTTATGGTTGAGGGTTCGAATAATGAAATAACGACCTTCAGTTGGCAAGACATTGATCCACATGTGTTACTCTCCACCCAGGTGTAGTTAGGTACCTGGCAATTCCTTTGTTAATTATAATTACAGGGCCCTCTGAAAAAATAGGATTAATGCTGATAAAGCTTTCCTAGGTAAACAAAATTGCTATTATAATTATCATAATCACCGTTATTATCATTATTATTATTATTATTATTAATATTATTATTATTATTATTATTATTATTATTATTATTATCATTGTTGTTATTATTATTATTATTATTATTATTATTATTATTATTATTATTATTATTATTATTATCATCATTATTATTATTATTATTGTTGTTTTTGTTATTAATACCATTATCAAACGTAACTAGCTACAAGAAAATCAAGATTACAATTTAAAAGATATTAGCCTAAATTTTCTGACAAAAGATGCACAGAGAACTATTCTATTGTGAGAAAAGATAATTGAACCACAATGAGGAATTTAAGCTAATATTTGACTTATGTGGTGCAGTACTTTACAGTCAACGTTTTATTTGGGCAAGATTTTTTGTAGATTGTGTTTATATTTCGCTGGTCTAAACAACTTTGTGACATCCATAATTAATTCATTCATGCCAATCAAGCCAGTTTCTCTCGAGACAAAATTCCATTAAAAGAATTCGAAATGAGCTTCAACGTCGTAGCGTCCAAAGCATGACTGTTCAACTTCCTCCTATAAAGTTACCTTTATTCTCCAATATATGGTATTAAAACACATCATACTCCCCACGCGTACATACACACAATCGTAATAAAACATAATTATTATATTCCGGCACAAAACTTACAAAAATGGAACTTTTGTGGCCCGGTTCGGTGATTCTGCTGAATGAAAATACGTTGAACTGACTACAAACCGAGAGTGCGTAAAACCTTACCTAAGCTCTAAACAGGAAGTGATTTGCAAAAAAAAAAATACAGAATGTTTTTTTTTAATCCCTACTTCACTCTCTATCCTCTCGGACACCGTTTCGAAACTGAGTAAACACAAATGAGATTGATACACGTCTCCAGGGGCGGCGATCTTGGGGGAATGGGGGGACACGTCCCCCTCAATAATATCCTTCAAAATGTACAAGTAAATACCAAGTACAGTGAAGTGTGAAAAAAGAATATTGCTTGTGTGTATACTGTAGTTTTGCTAAGGACTGTAATTTGTTAATACAACAAAACTTCAACAACATATGAGGAGGTAATCACTTCTGTCACCTTCACCCCTCTCATTCACTATTGCTCCCTCGCACTTGCGTGTATATGTATATATATGTATATATATTTTTTTTTGGGGGGGGATTGGGGGCAGTTCCCCCCAAAATGAAAATCAAACGTGGTTTATTTCTGATTCTAATGGCATTATTTTGTTTCCTGAGCTTCCGGGCTCTGCCCCCTGGACAAAATATGCTCATCTGACCTAAATAAAAAAACTCTGAGCTTCATGGGGCTTCGCCCCTTGACACCCGCCGGGGCTTTGCCCCTGGACCCCACGCCAATTTACGTTCCACTTTGCTTTGCTCTACCTAATCGTAAATACTTTAGCCCCCTTCCACCCCTATCTCAATGGGGACCATATGCAGACGATCGATTTGTAAGAATCAAATTCGATGACGATTCACTTCTCAACGTCGTTGTAGGTACCACAACAGTTGTCTGATATCCTCCAAAATACATTCCTTTATAACATAAGAACTAACTTCTCTCTGCTAAGGAAATAAATTCATTGGAGCAGGACTGGTCCATTGAGGAAATGAACATGGTAACAATAATATTATGCGATCACAGCTCAAAAGATTCGTTCGCCCTTTAAACTACTGAGCAGGCGCGTACGCAGGGGGGGGGGGGGGGGGGGGCGGGGGTTAAACCCCCCCTTTGGTATTTTTATGTGTGTAACCCCCCCCCCCCCCAAAAAAAAAAAAAAAAAAAAAAAAAAAAAAAAAAACCTAAACCCCCCCCCCCCCTTTGATTTTTTTTTTCTTAATTAAAAAAAATAAATAAATGAATAAAAATACTCCCATAGTTGACCTAAAAAAGGTTACCTTACCCCCCCCCCCCCAACGGGGCAAAATGTCAATTTTTCAAATTTCAGTGTCCTCTTACCCCCCCCCCCCCCCCCCCCGGCATATTCAGCGGTCGGCTGAGTCGTTGCGATTTTAAAAAATAAATAAAAAAAAGTGTCATCTTACCCCCCCCCCCCCCCGCTTATTCAGCGGTTGGCTGATTCGATGCGAAATATTAGGCCCGATTTATAAATGTTAACCCCCCCCCCCCCTTGAACAAATCCTGCGTACGCGCCTGCTACTGAGTATACGAACTTACGTTCTCTTCTAATTTGTATTGGATTTTTTCTTTTCTCTCTTTCTTACTAATTTTCAGTTTTTTGTCTTTATTTTCTTTCCATTTTTCTTTCTTTCTATCTCTAAAAAAGAAGAAGAAAGATTCGAAATAATACTATCGGACGTGGACAGATCGATCCTTGACATGTTTTTCCTCCGAACCCCTCTTAGTCCATTACTTGCACGAAAAAATTGAATAAGAAAAGTTTCTTGCTTTGTAATCAAACAGATCATTGATTTAGTTCACAAACATTTTCTTTATTTTATTTTTTACTTCTAACGTTACTTAACGTTAGAAAAGCCGACAGTCTAAATGAAAGGACTGTTGGATTACAAAGCATGAAACTTTCTGAAAATGAACATTTTGCGTCATGATATTATTATGCAAGCACGTAGATTAGATTGTATATACAGGCTTGTATTTGCAGACAGCAGACAATTCTGTATATCTGGCCGGACATATAGCCTTGTCGTAATTAATATTATACATATAAAATCTATTTCTTAGTTTGGTACCCCCCCCCCCCCCCAAAAAAAAAAAAAAAAAAAAAAAAGGTACCCCTTCCTCTCGTTTTACCCAGCTCCATTTCTGATTTGCCTCAACTGCCCTTTTGAACACGCTGACGCCTTTAGTCATTTATATTTCCCATGATTTATGCCTTGAAGTTCATCTATGCTTTCTCTATTCATCACATACTCCATCTCTCTCTGTCTCTCTTTCTCTCTCTGTATCTCTCTCTCTCCCTCCCTCTTTCTCATCAATCTGTTTATTTCAAAATGTAACTATGTTACCACGCATCTATGTGGCTTTCTTGTTCTTGTTATTATGTTTTTCTTCAACTCCCTACCATGCACTCATGTTCCGGTTGGCAAAAATCATTTAATAATGCAGCTAATAATGAATGACATCACTATCGTCACAACTTTATTAACAATTACAACATTGACAGCTGCCGTATGCTAAAATCGATACATATTTTTATACAATGTCACAAATAGACTTTCTTGTATCCTGTGTCTCCACTATATAATTATAAATTATACAGATAAACATTTCCTTCACGGCTCTTTAATATTATTCTATACAGTGCAAATCGATGAACCCAAGAAACATTTCAGAATGTATGTATAAAGTGCAACTATTAAGACAAGTTTGTAGTATCATAAATATGCCAATCAGTTGTCATTTCGTCAACAAAAATAGGCAGGAAACTTCCACTTATTGCAACAGGTAATACTTCAACACCTATAGTATCATAAAATATGCACTTGATAATATTTGAAAAAGATCAGGTAACCGGGAGTGGTGAAAAGGTTTAAACATAACCAAATCAGAAATAATTATTTCCTATTCACCTTATATACACAACAACAGAGCCATGCAGTTATACACACAGATCGACCAAATTGGGGTTCAGTTGGACAAACTCTGATGCACATTCTGTGGTGTGTACTTGCCCGACAAAGCAACATGGCGCCGTATTGTGTCCAACTTGGACGATACTGCTACATACTTCGATGATCCTGAGCAACAGCTTACAAGGACGCCCTTAGATGAAAGCAAATTACATTTTAGAAAGTTGTAGCGATGAATGTGGGGGGGGGGGGGGTAATCAGGCCATCATGTGCACATAAATGTAAGAGAAAAAAATAGCCTACATTAGATTGTAGTATGAACGATTGATACACGTTTGTAAAAACCCAATACACACACACAATGTCTGTTTTGAGCATTCCCTAGGAGCGATCCGTGCGCAATATAAATTTAGCCATTGTTATTATTATTTGAGATGTAAACTAATTTGCTCTGATCTCAGGGCGTCCTTCAGAGTCATCTTTTTTTCTTTTTTCTTTTTTTTTTATTTTTATTTTTTTTTTGGGGGGGGGGGGGGGGCAAGCACACAACAGGGAATGTGTACCAGACTGTCCAACTGAATCCGAGTTCGGTCGATATATGTATATGATGTGCTTTCTCACCGCTCATGAAAAAAGGGAAATAATTATCACAGATTTTTGCTATTTTTTTTACAATTTTCTACCACTCATATTTCTTAGAAATGTTTACATATTATTAAGTGCCATTCAATGATACTATAGCAGTTTAAATATCTTCTGTTTAAATGTGTGAGAGTATTTCCGTAAAGCTATCGTACTGCATCATGTGCATGGTGACCAAAAAATGTTCTACTTAGTTGTCATAATTGAGCACGAGAATAAAAATATCGTCTTCCTTTTTAATCATCTCCTGGGTTTATATTCGTACTATTTTTTCGATTCATAAGCGAAGTTGACTTCCCGTACTGATTGCTGATATTCAAAGCGTCGGTTCCATCTGAGGAGACTATGTTTCCCAGGGGCCTCTGAAGATGTGTATACTCTTCATCGACACCGTCCTGATCGTTCCCTTGAGATCTAAGGTTGTCCAAGGTCTGATAGGCGTTTGTCTGGTAATCGAGGGAACTACTAGGGTTCTCTTAATCATCGTCATCAGCAGATTTGTCTGTCGTTGTGCCTGGATTGATAGGTGACGTTTTTGACAATTCCTTGCGCTGGAGATGGTCGTATGGCTCTTCGGAGATTTCCAGCTTTGGAACTTCATAATAGGATGTCGCTTGTGGCTCTGCGCCGGAATAATCGTCATCAAGATCTCCAGTCTCAGTTGTCATACCCAAAGAACCATACCCAAAGAACCATACCCGTTAGAGGGCGGATGTCCAGATGTCTTTGGGCCATGTTGAAGCGCGTCATAGTTGTTATCCTTGTCCTTTCCCGTTGCCTTTGTGTAACCACTCATGGATTCACGAGTGTTGTCATATTTTATTAGGTGCTGGTATGTGTTACCTTGTGACGCTTCCTGTTTCACGGACAATCTACCTTGATCGAATCCACGGCCAGTATTATCAGAGCCAGTTTCATTTTTCTCAAGAGATTGGTAGTCATTGTTGGGAGTGAGCCAGGCTTAGGATATGCAGGAGAAGGGTCATTCGTATTTGGCTCTAGGATGGCGTAATCAGGACCACTGGTCTGAAGCGCCTGGTAAGTATTATTCATTGATGCAACAGAACTATCCTCAGGTTTCGTAGGTGTTGTTGCATTTAGGTGAAGCGAGGTGTAGTCATCTTTACGTAAATCTTGATAGCCTTGGTCGACTGTTTCATTTGGAACGCCACGTTTCTTTTGACCGTGAAGATCCTTACGCTTCGCTTCAACCAATGCACACTCGGTCCCATTGACTAAAGTCCCTTTGGGAGAAGATCCTTCAGTAAATCTTCCCTGCATTCCCCCTTTAAGAAGCTCTTGATAAGGTCCGCTTGGTGTTTTCTGTGCACACTCTGGTAGGTTATACTCGTGGTAGTCACCCTGTTCTTTGCCTCCAAACAAGACATTGTAGTCCTGTTCTCCTACCTCGTTGTAGATGACCATGTTGCCTTGTCTTGTAGGTGGGACAGAGGTGGGAAAATCAGAGTACTCATTATGTCGAATGTTCTCATAGGACAAGGGCATGGCAGCATTTGAAGCGCCCTCTATTGGATTTGCACATTCTGTGTAATCACTTTGGCCAGCAGCGGAGGT